CAAATTAATGTGGGTTCTTAATCACAGTGAAAGTTACCAGGATGTTTGAAGACAAGTTGTGTTTCTTGTAACATTACATATTTGGGTTTTACTTATGCAGAGGGCAGCTAAATCTAATGTCCTAATCTTAATGCAAAATCTAAGCCAGGAGGAAAAAAAAAGCTTCTAGAGCAATGAAATTACACTGAATCTTGGCCTCTCTGGGGCAAATGACTGTGTTGCCTGTATCTAAGACCCAAGAAACCACTCCCCTTGTTAGGGGGAACAACTGCCTGAGTACAGAAGTCTGTGTGTATACCTGTTTGTCTGTCTGCCTGTGTTTACACACAGGCCTCAAAAGTTAGTGTTTTTCACTAGGTGAAGAGTTCATTTTCCTGATACTTCCTCCCAAAGTACATCCACAGTGAGGGGAAGGAGGGAAGACTGGATAATTCCTTTGCAGAGAGCCATTAATACTCTTAGGAGCACTGTGTCAAGTTGAGAAGGCTTTTATGCATGGGACTAGCACATTGGCTGGTGGTTGCCCATCACGGGTTGTCACTGAGGTTTCTTCTCCAGCCCTGGTCACTCAGCACAGTCTCCATGGGTGAGGATTTGTTTTCTAAAAATACTTTCTTTTAAGTGTAGTTACTGAGATACAGAAAGTTGTGCTTCTCTAAGTGTCATATAAATATTTTTGCAGCTCTCTCTTATTCTTGAAAAATAAAAAAACCCTAGAAGACCTAAGCCATGGCTGGGGGGAGTTTGTGTTTCTTAAATGTTTATTTTGCAGCTCCTTTTTATAGCCCAGGCTCAGGAGGGAAATGGGAGGAGAAGGGGTGGGAAAGCATGTGGGGAGAAAACCAAGACGGTTGCAGGACAGAGATGTCCATTCCCACACCTTTCTGAGAGCATTGAGCTTGACTTCCCAACCTGAAGGTGGGGATGCATGTGCTGTTCCCATTGCACACGTGGGAGCTCAACACACGCCTTTTTCGTAAATCTGTGTCCATCTCCATGAAGGGCTCAGCCCAGAGCTGAGCCCAGATTTTGGTCTGGTTGACAAGTGTGTCTTCAGGGCAATGAATGACTCGTTCCATGGCAGTTTCACTTAACTACAAGGGATCCAAGTGGGCTGAATTTTTTTTTTTAACAATAGGAGGTGTCACAAGGGATGCCTTGTTTCTTGCTGAGGAGCAGAGAAACCAAACTTGTCCTGCTCCCAGAGAACACCTTAGGGGAGTGATAGGAAGTTTTAATTTCACAGCTCTGTCTTCTCTTTTCTTCCTTTTTTTCTTTTTCTTCAGAACTTTGTGGAGGATATAAACAAATGAAGCATTAAATAAAAGTAAAGCCCAATTCTGAGCAGCCTGATTTACAGCCTTCAATCACGTTTTAGATTGGTCCATGCGAGAGTGTGATAACTGCTCAGATACCATCCAGTCCACTTTGGAGAGTTTTAGCTGCTATACAGATAAAAGTATGGTTTATGAGCACTTCTATGAAGTGGCTTGAAGAGACTCACTCTAATCCAAGAGAGTCCTTTTGCTCCATTTGCATTCCTTTTAACTGACAAAACCTGATTAGGAAAAAAAAAAAATACAAAACCACACCTCCTTTGCCTTAGGCTTGTGCAAAAACATCTCCACCGAGCTGGGAACTTGGGTCTTCTCCTGTCCTCTCACACTGTGTGATTAAGCCATTAAATCAGCTTATTGCAGATTTTACTGGCTGCATGGGCAAACCCAGAGCTGAGGAAGTCTTGATGGGCTCATGTGACTTGGGGTGCACTGTCATGGCTGGAAAGCCACGGAATTCAACAGGAATTTGGCCTGTGAATTTGTCCTGTCGAGGACTACAACCCAGGGCTGCAGAGCACGGTGCTGCCAGTCATTCCCTGAAAGGTCAAGTTAGAAATTAGCTGGTGGCTGTGGTGGACGTGTTGAGGAAGGAGAGGTCAGGTTACAGACAGAAGAGCTGTTTTCAAGTGTTGTCTGTGAAACAGGACTTGTAATATGTTACAAATGCTGGGATTATTTTAGATTGGCAAGAGCAGCTTTGGCTTCTACAATAGCTCTTCTGTAAAAGTGAACTCAGAACTTTTTTTTCTGGTCAGGCCTGGGAAAACAAGGATGCTAAAACCTGGGGCATTTAGCCAGAGGAAGTGAAGAGGCATTGGCTTTGCAGTCCTGATTTGCAGCAGTTGCTCCATTTGGGCTCATGCTGCCCATTTCTGCTCATTTCAGTGGAGAATGGTTTACTCCAGCAATGGTCTGTGATCTGGTTTCAGCACAATGCTTCACAAAGCCTCAGGGGTTAACTGGTGGATTGCTTGAGATTTTACTTTTCCAGTGCTTCCTAATCAAGGAATGTATAGAGAGATGTCTCAGGGCTTTGTTCAGGCTTTGTTATGCAATCTCCTGCAAACATCTTCTTCAGGCAGATCTGACCTAGGTTTTTTCAGTGCACTCCTAATCAGACAAGCAACTACAAGAAAGCCTACTGCCCAGTAGAGTTTAGCTGTCAAATTCCTCACCAAACATTTTCTTTCTGCATAGTGACCAGCTGTAATTATGCTTTGATGTAATTAAGCTTGAAGAGCTATTTTATACAAAGTATATTCCATAAGATGTGTTTGTTGATAATCATTCCCAAGGACAAGAAAAACAGTTTGAGAAAGTCCTTGCTTCCAAGTCCTACACTTCCTATTTGTGTTATTGATCTTGAATGTTTAATGCTTATTTTGTGATGTTTTGGAATGTACTAAGTAATATTATTGAGATGAACAATGAATTTTAAAAAAACCCTCACAACCTACAGTAATAGTTTCCAATAGGATGCTGTTTATAAGTAAGTATAGCTGTTTGCTCAGATGAAGGCCTGTAATAATCCCTATATTCGAATTGGTTATATTTATTTGCATGACTATTACTGAACTTTACTGAAACTTCATTCAGTTGAAGTTCTCCATTTCTTATCAGAAGCACCCGTTTACTAAACACATATCTTGATATCTGCACATTGGTTTCTTGGCTAATTTGGTCACTAGCAGGTAAGATAATAAACATTTCAGGAAGACAGACTCATCTAGTGTAGCTGTGGTAAGTGACTGACCAGGACAGTAAGTACCAGCATTAAGGGAAAGACAGTGATACTTGAAGGCCGAAGAAAGTTTAACGTGCACACCACTCTCATTTGACCAGGTTCTGTTTCTTAGAAAGTGGCAGGTTTTAAGGTTTAAGTCACTGTGTTTCTGCCATGAGCTGTGGTCCCCGTGTGACTCATGTTCAGCACGACCTTTCCATGCACTTCTCATGCTCAGTTTCCTAATGACTTGACTTCTGGCACCTTGTTCCTTCCCCATTAGTGTTTTGCTGGCAGTGCCTTTTGTGGTGACTGCACACAAAATTATCCCCTTGCTGCCTCTGTCAGCATTTTGGTTCGTATCTCTTGCTGGCTTGGTTCTTAGGAGAAACAAAACAGCACAGGAATCTGTGGGAGAAGGAGAAGGTGAAACTATTCCTGATGCTTGGGGGAAAATGCTTGTCATGGTTCTAAAAATGTACTTAGCAAAACTTGATGAGTTTAATTTGTCCAATGATGTTATCCTTGTGTGTTAAATATTAATTCCATAAACGTAAAGGATGAAGTTCTGGTGGTTTGAGTAGATACTAATTACATGGAAAAAACCTATTTTGAAATAGTGGTAGAAATTTTAGTCTAGTAGAAAATGGGTGAGATCTGGAGATTCCTTCTGCTTTTTTAAGCACCACAGGGTCCATGTTACCTATAAAAATTCAGGGGATATACACTGATTCTGATTGCTAAAACTATTCCACCATACTAGCTGCACTTTCATCTCCAAATATTTTGGGTTTGTTCCTCTATCACTGGTGTTGCTTCACTTGGAATGACCTTTAGTATGCAGTCTTGCTCCTGACATTATCAAAGGTTTCTTCTGGCAGACTCACCATAGGAAATACTTTGTAACTATAGACATACCAGTAGGTAAGGCTAATGGACTGGAGATCTCAGGGGGCATTTTCACATGGGTGTTTATTTATGGGTTCCATATTGTTCTGGTTTGACCCAGGATGAAGCCACTTTTCCTTTTACTGATTTGTTTTCCTTCCTTTTCTTTTATCATTAGTGTTTAATTAAAGCAATGTAGTTTAGCTTTCAATCCCATAAAGTCTCTCTCTTTTTCTCTCTCTCCTTCCCTACCTGGGAGGGGGAGGGGATTGAGAGCATTGTTGTTGAACCTGAGTCAAATGGTGACACATATTATTTGAACTTTATATACATTTGTACACAGACACACACACCTATATATTTCTTTTTTTAAAAAAAAATAAATATATATAGATATTCTTTATTTTCTGGTCTTCTGACAAGATCCTTTTACTAACCATCTTCATCTTGTTGGAGAATAACTACTTTTTAAGATGTGACAACTTTTCAGAGCAAATCAGTGCTGCTTCTCAACTTGCTTCTAAGTTTATATTGACACTAGAGCCTGTGTTTAAGAGAATATAAAATGCTTCAGAATTTCCAGACTAGAATGTCCTGTGCAAGACTGTGTTTTGGATCCTTGTTTTCCTACATGACAAGCTTCATGCAGTGGCTCCAACAGCTTTGCAGTTCTCAGCATTCCCAGCAACAGCTTTGGGGATCACAGGATGTGAAAGGCTAGTCGAAGTCTCAGATATAATTAAATTCCTACAAGTTTTGCAAAAGCAGCTAAGAAGAGACCCAAACCTATGCCTACATTGAAGGGAAAGGCAGGCAGAGCTTATCCTTCTTTAGCAGCTGCTGACTGCCGTGCTGGCACATCCTGTTCTTGCTCAGTGTATGTATGGCAAATCCTCTGGGTCCAGTGAGGTTTTTTTAAGTGGTACCATGAAAAAAGGAAACATGGAACACAAATCATCCGGAAACCAGAGCTCACTATCCTGCATCCATTGTGTGCCTGAAAAGCCATTGTGTTTCTCAACTGTTGTTCTTGCAATTTTGTTTTGTAGGAATCGGAGTTTCTCTGTCTGGAGTTTGATGAGGCCAAGGTGAGCCAGATGCTGAAGAAACTCTCAGAAATAGAGGAGAGCATGACTTCGTTGACCCAGACCACTTAACCAAATAAAGACATTGCAACTCAGAAAATGAATGACCCGCAGTACTTCTTTGCAATTCCTGTTTCTGCCCATAAAATGGGTGATGATTGTTAGATCCCAATTATAACTGCACAACGCGTTCACAGCCAAGTATGGGCGAAGTCACACTGTGAAGCTTTCTCCATCCCCTCCTCCAGGCCTGTTCTCCAGGGCGGTGCCAGTATTGTTTCCATAAAGCTTTGAATAATCAGGCCTCTGAGTGTAGTGTAGATTTTATCTTTTTCCCCTTGATCAATTTTTGAGTCTCCCAGATGCTGTAAATACTGGGCTGGATGAACAGCGAAGGTAAATTCACCAGTTGTGGCAGAGGAGAAATGAGCAGAAGAAGCAGGCAGACTAGAGGGGACTCATGTTTATCCTTCCAAACCATGGGATATGTAGGACAAATTCTCCTGTGTGAAGTCTGCCTGCTTAGGGTTTAAAGCCTGGGAGAGTACAGCAAGTGCAGCAAGTTCAGGGAGCAGAGACACAACCATACATTTTGGTAATTGTGAGCCTCAGTGCTGCTGAGGATTAAGTGGTTCTCAAGGGTGTGAGGTGGCCAACCTTGCTGGCCCATTCAGTCACACCTACCTGATGCCATGGGGAAGCAGGGAACAAACAGGGGAACATCTCTTGGGCTGTGGGAGGTTACACTGGTTTCCTAAATGGAAAAGCTTTTCTGCATGTGCTAAGCACCTGATTCAGCAGCCTGCTGGTGAGCCTTCAAAGCCACTTCTGACCTGCTTCCCCAAAGGCCTTCCACCTTCCAGCTCTCAGGCTGCAGTGGTGCAGCCCTGGCACTGAGCTGCACAGTGTATTCAAGAGGACAGTGTTTTGTCAGGGCACAGTTGGGTGCTCTTAGTCATGTTTGTCATGCTGTTCATCTTGAACTCAAAAAAAGCCCCAGGTTAAGCCCAGGATTTCTAGTGTGTGCCCTTGACAACCTGGCAGGTTAAAGCCCTATCAATAAAACAGTTGTGTGAAGAAAGCTGCCAAGAGCAGATAAGGTACATATAGGTCTGCATGATCTGCACTCTGCAGTTTGCTGCAGCTCTGGGTTGTGGTGGGCACCCACACCTCTCTGTCATGATGCCAGACTGCAGAGCAACCACTGCCCTTCTGCCTGAAGGGCACTGAGTGGAAATGTTTTCAGTTTCAGATGTTTCCTTTCAGGGGTGCAACCTTGTTGGCCTTTCCACAGCAGGATGTATAAGCACGTCTACTGGCTTGTCAGTGCAGCAGGACCTGGAGGGGCTGTTCTGAGCAGGCTAATGCTTCTAAGGAGCATGATGATAGTACCTACTGGAAAATTGCCCAATAGTCCATTAAATGGTGACGGACCATTTGGAGGTGACACAGACTTGCTGTTTTGCTTTGTTGTTTAATGAGAAGGTGCACACACATATTGGGTTGGAGGCTGCATTGATTCTTTCAGTTTTATTTTAGTTTCATAAGCAACCTCCTCCTGAGCTAAAATTATCTTGAGGACTTGTACCAAGATAGAGATGACAACATAAAATGTTCCTGTGCCATAACTAAAGTACTCCTCATTGCTTCTCCTTGTGAATTTATTGCTTGTGGAGTTGCCAGATTTTACTTGGGCACAAAAGCTCTTCAAACCAAGGGAAAGGCACTTTTTCGCATCTGGCCAGAAGGGAAAGCATCACTCAAGCCAATTTGTATAACTGCATTGGGAATTCATGTTTCCTTTCCTCTGCCTGTCCCACTGCCACCTCGTCTCTGATGGCCACCTGGTTCTCCCCTCCCTCTCGTGGAGGGGCTGCACACCCCCTGTCTTCTTGCTTTCCTCATCTGCCTCCAGCTGGTACTTGTCAGAGTGGAACTGGACTTTATAAACTAATCCTCATGTTGGTCTCCAGGTAACTGTTTGCCAGCACTGGTGTGAAATGCTGAGTGGTTGCTGATTATCTGAGCTTTCCACTTGCCTCTTCATCAAAGTTTATTAAAATGTTCTTCTGCATTTTAGAGCAGGTTTAAAAAAAAACCGAAAAAAACAAGGTCAGGGAAGGATCGTGATCTTAAGTAACTTGCACTGTGTCAAACATACTTATTGTTTTATTTTAACATGGTCAGAGGATAGGAAAATATGCTATAAATGGAAATTAAAAAGAAACAAACTGGGAACAGATGTCAGGAAGTATTATTTCATGCAAAGAATAAGAAATATGTGAAGTGGCTCACCAGGCAAGGAGGCTGAGGCAAAAAATACTGCAGTCTTTTAAGAAATAATTAGATAGTTTCCTAGTAGAGGTGAGAAGCTAAAAAGGGGCGTGTTTTTTATGGGTGGCTGCCTCTCTTCCTAATCTGAATATCTAATTATCTTTATTTTCTTCTTGGTGCATCTTTGTAAAGAACTGTGCAAAATGATGAAAAAACCAAAAGCCTGAGTGTTTTGAGAATCACACCCTGCGCAGCCCTTGATAAGGGCACAGAAGAGTCATTGGGCAGCAAAATCGTTTCTGCCTCATGAGGTTTGACACGGGCAGGGGAAGGGGATGCTGAGCTCCCCCAGGCTGATGTAATAATGCCCCACTGCTGCTGGGGCACAGGGAATGGGTTGTCCCCCCTGAGTGGGACTTGGCCTTCCTACTGGGATGGTTTATGTGTGTGTCCATCTGTCTGTCCCTCACTGTGGAGTTTTCAACCGACTGGCCACTCTTGGCTGAACTTGGTGAAGAGGCCTCCTGTGCTGCTGTTTTGCTTCTTTGAGTGAAAAACTAAAGCACCTGTGATTTTTTGTTTGGATTCATAGGGATGTCTTGGGATCCATTACTAGCTGTCAATGGTCCCACTAAATATCCCTGTGTTGTTGGCAAATGAAAGCTGCAGCTTACACGCTTCAGAAGAGATTTCAGATTCTGTCCTCAAAGCCAAATTGTAAATCAAACTCGGCTGGGCAGCTTCTGCTGTGCCTGAGGCCACGAGTGGGTGCTGGCTTCCTGCATGGGTCTGTCTGAGCAGATGTCCCAGCACAACCCTGTTGGCCACAGAGGCCAAGGCAGTCACCTCTGCCTCCTCTTCCTCCTTCCCTCAGGGGAGCAGCCAAGTGGCACCGTGCCCTGAGCCACTAGTCAACCTGCCAAGCAGCTTGTAGAATTATGGGAGAGACACAAGCAGTTCAGCACAGCCAGAGGAGGAAAGTGAGTGAGACTGGGAAGCAGTAGGAGGAAGGGCTGAAGGAGGGCCCCTACCTGAGTCCTACCTGGGAGAAGTTGCCCTACTTGGTCCTCAAAAGTAGCCATGGAAGAAGCTGGGACAAACTCATGCCACATTCCAATGTCTTTAACCTTAGAAAGGTCCCCTTCACACCCACCCCCTGCTTGCAGTCTGCCCAATCTCCATCTTTCCTGGTTTTTTAACAACTGAAAACCACTTGTGAGTGGGAGTACCATGTGCCACCAGGCTGGGCCAGGCTTAGTTTCAGACAAGGCCTAGAGACAGTGAGCAAGGGCTGCTGCTGCTGCAGCTCTGGCATCGTGTACATGATGACTCCAGATGTGCAACTCCAGATGTGCCACCCATCTCAGGTTCTGCTGCGTCTTACCAAAGACTCAGAAGCAGCAGCCACGTGTTGTTACAGCCTTCAGCTGGTTCTTCCTCAGATGTCACTTTTTGTGCTGCTAAAACACCCTGCAATTTATTCATGCAGTTGCTCCTTGTTTTCTGGGAATTCCTCCAAGTTGCCACTCGTTCATTATCTGGTCCTCCCTAAAATATCTGCAAGTTCTGTTGCCTTCAATTATGCATTACAATTGCCAAGCCCTGCACTCACTCTCTGCTTGGCAACACAATGCCTCTTAGCACAATTTTCTTTTTTTCTTGGTCCATGTATTCCCAGAACTGCAGAACTGTTGGAGTATTTTCTAGGCATGTCTGTATTTGAAAAAACAGTAGTTCAGGCACACCATGTTTTTCCAAATCCAAGCCGAGCAAGCTCCGTGTTTCATAAACTCCTTTAGCCATGATAAGTGGCAGATGACAAGGCATACTTTTTTATTTTGGTGTTGATTTGATTTCTTATTGTCCAGGTTACTTAGTCTTCATTTTATTTTACGTTTCTTTCTTATTTTTTCTTTCTTTCTTTCTTACAGGTCTGATTTGCAAGTGTAAATATCAGAATTAACATTTGTGCTTTTATTGTCTTTCACATGAGGGTTTTTGCTGGAGTCTGTGACTTCCAGATTTTATTGTGCTTCAACTTTTTGATAAAACATTTGATATTCTGAGAGATTTTCTTTTCTGTACATCAGTTATTTGCTGTCTGTTGATAAAATAATTGCTCACTTTTTCTGAGGAGATTTCCTGATTTAGGTATGAACTGACAATCTGTAGATTCTCAAGTCTCTGAGAAGTTTTACCTGATGACTCAATGCTTTGCCTTATTATTGCTTATGGAAATGTTTCCTTCCCCTTCTGAGGAATTTCAACAGTTTATTCCTTTATTCCAAATATTTATAAAGAGGCACTCAGTTGGTGCCAGGGACACAGGGAGACTTTTTAAGAAGGCAGTTCTACACAGCAGTGGCTGGGCAGGGGTAGCACAGCACCCACTGACAGCTTTTTCATGCATTACGTTTCCTGTGGCTTGTGACTGGAAAAACAGGCAATGACTCCTCACCTTGGAGCCCGGCCTGATGAAATCCACCTCTTAAATTATTCCCAAATCCTAGGGAAGGGGGACTCAGGGTACTGTTTAACCCAACATGCGGGCCAGATTGTGCTCCTGGGCCTCCCTTGCAATGTTGGGAGATAAGGGTGATGGCACAGGGAGATAGGCAGCCATCACCATCAGTGCTTTCTCTCCTCAGTACAGCAAATAAAGCTGTTTCTAGCCAGAAAAGTCACCCTGGTTTATGCAAGCCTCACCAAAGCTGTGCGTGAATCCCTCCTTTCCTCAAAAGGGATGCACGTACACCAACAGAAATGCCTTTTCCCAGTAGCTTGAATCCCATGGGTGATCCCAAGGGTCACTGGAGTCCT